CTCCTGACGACCGACCCGAAGAAATAGGGGGAAAAAGGCAGTGGTTGGGTAGGGAAATGCTGCCGGGCCGGTGGCTCCGGGCCCCGGCCACTCCTGCACCGGGCGGTTTTGGAAAACGTCGGGGAAAACCAAGCAAAGAAAAAAAAAACAGGATAGAAAAGACAACAAAGCAGCAGCAACGAAACAATAACCCCCGGCGAGCTCTGTGTAGGAATAGTGACAGCAGCGACCTTCTCCTTGCGGTGCCCGACAAGCAATTAGGTTCACAGGGGAGGAGGGAGAAAGAGGGCTTTCTTGTTGTTTGATTTAAATTCAGGGTATTTTTGCCGTTCATCTTTTTTTCTGGCCTTGGAGATAGACTCTGTCTCCTCTTAGAAACGAGATGCTGAGAAATGCGTGGCAGCCCAGGGAAAGCGCTGCCCTCTCGCCCGCCGGCTGCAGCCCCGTTTCACTTGCACCGCTGCATGTCCTGCTGCTCCCGACTTACCCCAAACCAGGGCTTTCCAGCCCAGCGCGGCGTTTGCTTGAGCTGAAACAAAAGATGCCAGTGTGCGCACTAATAGACCATGCAGTATGGCTTTGGAAATAAAAAGCATTAAATTATCAACAAGTTACTTGCAAAGCATTGCGCTGCGTGGCCACAAGGAAGGTATTTTGTTGCAAGGCAAATGAAAATTTTGAGAGAGCTTCTTGAAACACTATTTTTTTTTCCAATCCCCGTTTTTTCCCCCACTGATTCGTTTTCCTTTCTTTCTTCTTTACCTGCTCTCTTTCTTCCTGTCTTAAAATTGGTAAATATGCTCTAGGCAAAAATAGCCATTTTAGATAAGAAATAAAAATCTGACTACATTTCTTAGTACATTGTTTCAAATAGCATCCTAACCAAATTGCTTAATAAATGAGAAAGTTCTTTTTTGTTGAAGAGAGTGAAAAGATTTTTTCAAAGTAAATGGGAGAAGACTGTGTCCCAAATCTGTTCATAAAGACATAAAATCAGGATAACTTTTAATTTCTCCTTTCCCAGATCTTCTGCCAGCATGCAATGGAGAAATAACAACTATGTCTTTCCTACAAGATGTTGTGGACATTTTACTTCAGTATGTGGTCAAAAGTTTTGATAGATCAACGAAAGTTATTGATTTCCATTACCCGAACGAGCTGCTCCAGGAATATAACTGGGAACTGGCAGATCAGCCACAAACCTTGGAAGAAATTTTATTGAACTGCAGAACAACTCTGAAGTATGCAATTAAAACAGGTAATAGCCATGCTCATTTTCTACCTTGTATGGTCTCATCCATTGATTAAAGCTGTCATTTCATCCTATCTTGAAGCACTAAGGATTCAAACAGCTCCTGTATTGTGTCAGTTTAAAGCAATTTTTAGCAGAGACAAGGATCATTTTCCTAAATGATAAAATACTCTAGCAACCCTGCCGTTGTAACTCTGTGCAGCATTATGCACTCTTCCTAATCTAAAATTAATTCTCCTGTGCAGCAGAGTTGCTCCTTGTATCCCCGAGCAGTATTTTAACCACCTTTGTAACCTTCCTCCCTTCCTCTTTATCCGTTTTACCCATTAAAAAATGGGGGGCTGGGGATCCTTTCTTGCTCCCTGCAGGCGGCCGTGCAGTCGGATGCAGAGCACGGAAGCAGCCGGGACGTGCTTGCTTGGGATGGGGGAGAGAAGCGGGGAACAGGCAGCAGTCCCTTTGACAGCCAAAAATCACAATAAAGGTCCTGTAAACAGGGGCTCGACAGCCGTTTGCTATATCTGTCTGCTTACCTGCAGGACAGGAAAATCAGAAAATCGGGCACCATTGAGCATAGGAGAATTGTGGGGAATTTTCGTCAACTCTAGGATCAGGATCAAGCAATAAAATTAAAGCCAAATTGTTTTAATGTTTGAATTGCCATTTTGTTATTTTTCACTGAGAAGGGCAGGATTCATTTAATTTCTATTTGCCCACAGCCCCATCAGCCACGTTCCCTCTCTCCCCTGCCCCCCAAGTTGGGCTTACCCTCCGCTGCCCTGTGCCCGCGGAAGCAGCCCGGCATGGGAAGCCGGCGGCTCCAAATCCGAGGCCACCTTAAATAAACCGCTGAGGAGCAAGCAAAAAGCACAGCTACAATTATGGCTGTGATTGAAAAATAATGTGGAGTCCAGGGAGTTCTTAGTGGAAATGTGAATTACTGAGAAATTATTTAAAAATAAATGTGTATCAATTAGTGCAAAAGACACAGAGGTTGAGGGGAGAATAATAACAGTTTTTGTCACCTTTAAGGGGCAGAACAGAAGAAGCCCAGCACAGATTGCTAGGCGTTTTTGTAACCCTGTTCTTTTAGAGGTGGGACTATCCAGTTGAATGCTTTTGATATATGACTCTGGTGCTATCAAAACATCTGTAAAATATTGGAATAAATAGTTAGATAAATAATGTTCACAGGAACAAAGTCAGTAAATACATCCGTGCCATGTGTCTCGGTATAGCATAGGAAAGGTGTTTTCACTGGATGCTGTGAAACACAGGATCTCTGAATTGGAAATAGAATAATAGGGTTTCTTAAGCAATTTCCATTAAGCTTTTTTGTCATGTTCTGCTTCACATAATAGACCCATTTCATTTTATGCGTCCAAAAAGAAACTTCAAAACAACATTATCATCATCCATTCACCCTCATGATTATGTGAAGCATTCTTTTTTTTTTCTTCTTTTTCCTTGTCTTATTTATTTATTTTAATTATAACCATGTTGTAAAGGTTCAAACATGGATGCTGGGGGAGGGTGGGCTGGCGGGGCAGAGGTGCTTGCCCGGCTGCCTTGCTCTTCGCTTGGCTGCTGATGCTCTTCAGTGTTCCAGGGCTCCTGCTGCATCCCAGCGCCCCGGGCGTCCAGCAGGGATGGGGGCTCAGGAACCATGGAACGGATTTGCACCCCAGCATGATGTGCTTTTTGGCTGTAAAGCGCTTAAAATACCCTTGGAGGAGGGGCAGTGCCTCTACGTTTATGGCCGGGGGAGTTTCTTGCTGCGCTCTGGCTCTGGAAGCCCGTGGAGGGGGAGCGTGGCCGCTGGCTCCGGGTATGGGCAGACTGGGGCCGCCTGCGCTGTGTCCGTCATGGAGGCTGAGCAGGCAGCTTGGAAAATAAACTGTGATGCTTGGAGGAATCTTATTGTCCAGGGGGGCATCCCCAGATGCAGCCGCTTTCCCCGGTTTGTCCCTGGATGGGTAGCTCACTAGCAGCTAAGGCACGGGGGATGCTCAGGTGCCAGCTTGGGAGTGCGTGCTGCTGTGTAGGCTGCTGCAGCCCCCGCTCGCTCGCAGCCTCCACTGGGATGAAGCACCAGACAGTGCCCGCAAACACCAGGAAAGATAGAGAGGAAATGTGGGGAAGGGTTTTCAGGGGAATTTACAATGCAGGCAGTTAAAATTGCCTTGATCCGCCCCAAAGGGCAGGCGGGGCTGGGATCCCCCCCGCGTTGCTCCCGGCAGGCCCGGGCAGCAGGCCCGGGGTTACAGGCGAGCCCCAGCCTCGCGCCACCCCTCTGCCCTCGCCGGTGCAGCCCTCACCGTTCCAGTGACGCTTGGTGCTTCCTCATGAAGGCTCCAGAGGCCGCAGTTTAATGCAGGGTGGGTTTAGGGGGCACAGAGAAACTGGGTATTGCTAAAGCCATCAGTTATCTCCCATATTTTCATGCCTCTCCCTCCTTGCCCCTGCCCCTGTTGTCCCTGTTTTAGGCAGCTCTTTGTTTGGTTGGTGATGATGGTGACAGATGAGCTGCGTTTTGGGCGAGAGGTGCCTCGAGCCCCTCACAAAGACCTTCCCTACCTGCCCAGGATCCTGTGTGTGGGTAAAGCCTCACTATACTGTGGTCACCTGTGTGAAGAGAGCTCACTCGGGTATTAAGGCATCAAAAAAAAAGGCAAAATCTTTCCCTCTGAGATCAAGGGCTAATCGGGAAACTAAGTTTTCTGCGACTCCATGTGGAGGAAAAGCCTGCTCTCAGAATGTGAGGCTTTTCAGGAGGGAGCAGAGCCGGCAGCCAGCAGGGTCCCTCCGAGCGACATCTCCAGAGCAGCTCCGGCGCTGCCTTCCCTGCTGACAGCCGGCCCCTTTCACCCCGCAGCTCTGGAGCAGGAGGTGGTGTGTGAGGCTTCCTTGTAGAAACAAGTAGTGACAACGAGGGTGTCCCCTGGGGCTGGTTGTGCAGCCTGATGCAGAGCTGCTGAGACGTTGTAGTTATGAGTATGAATTTTGTCGCTATAAGTATGAATTTTGTTATTCCCCAGCTTTTTGCTGTGAGTTTCCAGCACTAGAGCCTTCCTTGGTCTCCCGGAGATTTTCCATGGCCCAAACTCTACAGCGGCACTCGGCTCCAAGTTCCCTCTGAGTTGCAGTAGGGGGATGTAGGATCCCCTAAATCCAGCTGGGGGACAGCTGGGTTATTGAGCCCCAGCTATAAACATGGAAAAGCACATCCTTGGGAGTGGTGCAGAGGAGCCCCAGGTACAGGGTTTCTGCTTGTAGGGAAGGGAGGCACCAACGAACTGCCTGGCAGCAGCACCCGCTTCTTTGCAGATGATGGTTGCGGGTAGCTGGATTTTATCCTCCCCCCAGCTTATCCCCTGCCTGCAAAGTCCAATTACGTGGCCTTTGTGCAGGGGAAGGTGGGGAGCAGGGAGCAATTCTCCTGGTATAATTCTCCAACCCATGTGCACACGCCTGATAAGAGGCCACTGGAGACTAAAGATAGTTTTCTCTTGGTTCTTGCTGTGCATTTCCTCCATCATCTTGCTTTATCCTTTGTTTTCCATGAAGGCAGTAACTGTGCGTAGCCTACGGGTGAGGACAGGTGTTTCTGCAGCAGAGATACTTCTCTCTGAGTCAGAGGCGCCTCGGTCGTTGTCAACCTTCCCTGCTGGCGATTATGCCACGTACAGGGGCTTGCAAGAAGCTAGCAGTAAAAACAGAGTTTTAATGGTTTTCATTCCTCTTCTTAATGACTCTCGGCACATGTTTTTTAAGAAAAATCTCTGACAGGATTTTAGAGAAATTCAGGAGCCAATTAGAGCACACACGTAAATGGACCATCAGCGCACTGAGTGTGTTCTTGTGCATCGTTCCAATGTGACAACAATGTTGTTTTAATTGGGTTTATTTAAAATCAGAATTACAAGCAGTTATTTATAATTGCACTCTGACAAGGAAGAAATGACAAGTACTGCCACCTTCCCTGCCATCTTTGTACAATCATCAGCCTTTGAGTCATGTGCAAAGCAGGCACCAAAATGTTCCATTTTCTCATTTTGCTCTGTCTATTATAATCATTAGCCATTCATCACTGATGTTATATGTACTGGCAAGCTCTTCAGATGGTGTCTCGTGCATGCCTTTCAAACCTAGCGAGGCAAAAACACATTCAGTAACAACATGTGACACACTAACCGGGGCAAACAGCTATTTTTGTGAGGCAGCATCCTACTAATTTTCAAAGCAATTTGAAAGGATAATAAAGAATGCTGGAATTCATTATTCCATGTCCTACATAATTACTCCAGTTTTACTTATCTTAGAATGAGAAAGAGGAGAAATCCTGCATTTTTCCAAGGAAATCTTTTATTGCTGCTTTGTTCCATACCTTCCTTGTGCATAACAATCCTGGGATGAATATACTATTCAGCACTGAATAATTTCAGCCTTTTGGTAATGTTTTCCATTTTATGCAGGGCATCCTAGATATTTTAATCAACTTTCAACTGGATTGGACATGGTTGGATTGGCAGCAGATTGGCTGACATCAGCAGCAAATACTAATATGTAAGTAGCACATTTTTTCCCTAGTAATATTTAGTGCAGTGGTACAGTTATGTTTTACAGTATTAGCTGCTGTAGCTGAATGAATGAAGGAATGTATTTATATGAAGGTTTCTGGAAAACGATTGCCTTATTTTTAAATGTTTTTGTGTTTATTATTTATATGAAGACATTCAACATTCTCCTGTAGACTGTCTTCTCTAAAATTTCCTTTTATTATATGTGATGTCAGCTTTTCTAACCCACCTTTAAATGCACAGAAAAAATGTTTCAGTATTTTGCATGCGTAAATATGTAAAATGAAAAGTGTGGTGAATAGGCAGTAACGTTTATATAAAGGGCAGTGTATAACCTATATTCAGAGCAGTTAGAGCCATTGCTGTCTGCATCCCTGAAGTGTCTTTTTCAGGCTTTGGGACTAGGCAATATTATTTATGCCCCTGCTTAGCTTCATTAATTTTCTTGTCATCATGAATGGGACTATTAATGTGTATTAATGCAGATGTGCACACAAGTTTTTGCAAGACTAACATCTGGTTCTGGCCAGCAGGTCTTTCCCACGGGGTAAAGCTCTGAGCCTGGAAAAGGTGGCTGTAAGTTGTTTAACTGAAATGGGTAGAAATCAGAAGGAAAATTATCAAAGGTTACAAATCAGATTTCTCCCCACAGCAAGCTGGAGTATCTCATGGCTATTATGCATTGTAATGTTGGAAAAAGATGTGTTAGTATTGTAGATTAAAACATTAAATATGGACATTGCTACATTTCAGGTTCACCTATGAAATTGCTCCAGTGTTTGTACTTTTGGAATATGTCACCCTAAGGAAAATGAGAGAGATCATTGGCTGGCCCGGGGGCTGTGGCGATGGGATATTTTCACCTGGTACATGATATTTCAAGCTTTCTTTGTTTTTCAGGTGATGCTATGAAATCCCCTGTAGTTAAAGGGTAAATATAATGAGATATGCATGTTAAAGAGGACTCTTGCTAATGACTACCAGTGGCCTCTTTGAGATAACACATTGCATGTTTATGAATTTCAGGGGTGGGAATATGAGTGTCTGAGCAAATTACACTGCATTATGAACAGCTGTATTGGCACATGGGAAGCATAATCAGAAGAGATATTTGCCTTGCAGTTTTGTTTGCTCCTGTTCTTTTATAGATTACATTAAATAGAATATAGTCTTAATAATGGAGGAAAGAAGCAGCTCTCCATCACTGCAAGAGAAATTTGAGCAGGGAAGAGGAACATAACATCCCTATAAGTGAATTGAATGGATGGGTAAAATCCCACCAACACTACACTATATATTTACCTTTACATAGGAGCTGGCCTCTCGAGCTCTGTGGAGGTATTGGGTGACTAGTTTCTGGGAGTGCCTAAAGAGTCGGAAACCTGATTCCTTCAGGACAGGTCAGGAAAGCAAAAAAAGATGAACTAAAGAAATCATTGACCCTCATGAGCACTACATTTTTTAACTTTTTTTTTTTTTAATTGTTGTACTTAGTCTTTTGGTTTATGTTCTCTGTCACCTCCTATCTCACTGTGGAACTTTGTTACTAAGAATTTTGGTCTTTCTCCCCAAATTTCAAAAACTGGAAAGAATGGGGATTGAGCACAGCATCTTGGCTTGACAAAAGAGCACAGACTGATAGTGGGGAAGTGCTCTTCTGAAAAGAAAGCTCATTGACTTAAAGGAGAGAGAAGTGACGTTTTGACTATCAATCAATGGGACTTTTTTTCTAGTAGCCTAGGTAGTTAAATCTCCAAGTGTAGGAAGGGTAAAATTCATGCTGTATGGACCGAAATTATGCAATTTAATTCTCACATCCAAATACATGTGTGGAAGGAGTTTTATGCCTATACACAGAAGTGGGGAAAAAGATAAGAATTTTTAATACTTCTTAATGAGTCCTTATCTAAAAAT